AAAGCTACAAACTTTCTACGCATAGGCGTTTACGCGCGCGTGCAAGACCTTTACGGCTGCGAATATGCGTGTGCGCAAGCGTATAATACGTTTACGCATGCACATTCAATGTATAACGGATGGTATAAGGTAAGCTGTTAATGATGCAGATTGCGTTGTTCCTTAATCTTCGAATTGGATCCAGCTTATTATTTTTTGCAAACTGTTAGAGCAATTTTATGAAAGTAAGCTTGAACTTTTGATTACGTCAAGTAGAATTTCCGATATATATTTACTAATATGTAAAGGAGCTACAAAGCGAAAGTATGTTTTGAAATCCGAAATCTGTTTATCAATTTCACGCTAAACTGCGGCAGGGGGGGGAACACCGTGGCGTGCAATGAATTGGAAGTTGATCTGTCAGCACTATCCTTATCTTCAGGCCAGATGTTTTTATTTTATTTGGCTTATAATTCCTTACTATATGCAGTATTTCATCTCGATGTACTCCGTCTTTGATATGATTTAAATCATGTTCCTCGTCATTATAATTCGCTTCCGATAGTGAAGAAAGTGACAGAGAGGTTATTGAAAACAAAAAAATTTCGATTGACAAATTAGTCAGTATTCTCGACACAGCAATTATAGGATTTGAACAGCGGAACTTTGTAGCTAAACAAGAAATTATGTCTGTTTAATAGAATTAATGAGAAAGTATTATTACATGAAACGAAGCAACTTAAACAACTTACATTGAAAGAAATGTTTAATAAAGTAAACAAATAAATATTAAGCTTTTTCTCTTTGTAAATTTTGATACCCTTTAGATCATAATTGTTCTTTATTTCATAAATTACAGTTTCATATTTTTAATTTCTGCATGCCATCTTACCAGATTTAAACTGATGATCTATAATCCGGAATTGCTGAAGTCACGACGAGTCTGGATTAACGACTTTTGACTGTACTTTACCAAGTGGCCTGAAGCTTATCCTATTCCTGATTCAGAGGCTGTAATGGTTACAGAGGTAATAATACAGTATTAAATTTCCAGGTTCAGAGTGCCTCTTCAGATACATTCAGATCAAGGAAGGAATTTTACCTTGACTGTAATTAAAGAATTATGGAAACTACTTGGCATTGACAAAACCCAAATCACATCTTTACACCCCCAGTCAGATGGCATGGTAGAGAGGTTTAATCAAACTATCCTTAATAACCTCTCATTGGTGCTTTCTAGAAATGAAGACTGTAGCTGGGACAAGAAGTTATCTTATTTTTTCTGGCTTATCATAGTGCTGTGCACGAGACTACCTGCTACTCCCATCTCAGATGCTCTTCAGTTGTGATCTTTTGTTTGGTCGCTCTCTGGATGCACCTTCATTGCCTGACAAGTACATCCAAGATCTCCAGGCCCGGTTTGAAGTGATACACAACTTTGCACGAGAGCGAGTCAACCCGTTGATAGAGAAAATGAAGACCCATACGACACAAGAGCTACAGGACATCGGTTCAAGGAAAGAGACAAGGTATGGTTGTGGATTCTGATTTGATGGAAAGGTGGTGTATTTAATTACGGCAAAGCAGACTAGGGCTATCTGCCTAAGGGGAGGGATGCTTTCGTGGAGGACTTTCTAAGGGAAACTGGCTCGTATACACGTTACACATGGGGAAAACCACGAAAACACCCATGCAGCCAACCCGTTCGCGGGATTCGAACCTCGGACCGAACTACCAGTGTTCAGCGATTTTACCGCTCGGCCGCTGGTGGGCCCTTGACGGAAAGGACTCTGCCCTAAAGTACAGTCATCTTGGAATGGCACATACACAATCCTAAACAGGCTGAAAGATGTAGTTTGGATCTGCAAGTCATTGAATTCTAAGCCTAACCTCGTTCATTACAGCAGGTTAGCTCCTTACTATAGCCATAGTATGTAATTGTATATAATGCAAGACCATGATCCTTTTTGTTTTTGTGCACTCATTTATTGATTTGTTTTATATTAATTATTGCAATTATTGTTTATGTTGTTTGTTAATTGTATTTTAATGTTTATTACTACATTGATACCTTGCTTAATAGTAAGTATGGCTTCCTGTCTAGGAATTATACTGCCTGGTATATGCAGTCCTTGTTGGAAAGGGGGTAGTGTTACAAATTTTGCATTTAGATAGTTAATTTTAGTAGAATTATAATTGTTGCATTTTCTTGTGCAACATAGAATTTGAGAGAAAGCTATGTCAGAAAAGTAAAAATACAGGAGCATGTGTATTTAACATTTAATGAAAGAGGTATATCTAATTTGTATTGAAATTGAATAAATGTAATTGACCACTATGTTAGCTGCAACCGTAATTACATCTTCTTTTTGCTTTCCAGAAATCTCGAAAGGCAGATATTACTAGAAAGACCTTGTGCAGTTGAAGAAAGAGCGTCTCAGTTCAGTTACTGCAATTTGTTTAGTTCCGCATGAACTGAGATAAATCAGAGTTAGCTTTCTCTTTAGATAATACTTTGCACTGTGTTGCATTTTAATATTTTTAGTAGTTTGACGTATAACTACTGATTATAACTACGTGATATTGTGAACACTTGTACGAATATCTCTGACGAAAATTCCAGTGTTTTGACCACTGTTAAAACTCAATTACTTTAAAAAGTAGAAATGTGCATTACTATACACCTTTATCCTAATATTTACTTTTTAGAGTAAAAATGATGTAAAATAGAGAATGATGTGCAAAAATCCAGTACTTGTACCTTAAATGTAAACTTTCAGATTTATTCTCAGCACTAAGATTTGTTACAGCTCAATTTAAATTTCCGCATGCAATAATTTTATAATTATTAATAGCTATTAATTAAAAAAAATCAACATGATAGTCCTGAGGGTGCTAAAAAGAAATCATGATTTTTTTCGCAATAGACACATTCCTAGTTAAAAATTACTATTTTTAATAATTAATAAGAATTTCATTACGGTATTTAAATCGAATTTAGTTCACTGTGTAGCTTATAATGTAATGTTATTAGTTAAAGCTTAATGTAAATTCTTCCAAATTATTTTTGAATCACCATAAAAAAAAGACAACTGTTTTATATAATTTTTAATATAAATAATCGCACACTTTTAAACTTGTTTAGTAATTTTTTCCTGTATGCAGAAATTAAATATATATATAATATTATTTCAGAAGTCAAAACAACAAAATCAGCATTATATTTACAAAATTTTCACAGTGAACAAAATTTCACAGTTTTCTGTGAAACTTTTGTAAATATAACGATGATTTTTGTTGTTTGACTTCTGAAATAGTATTTATTCGGCGTGTTATTGTGTCTTAATATGTTATCAAGACAAATAAAGAAAATTTCCCAGCTTCTACAGAAATTATTTTTTCAAGAAATGTATACTATTAAAATTCCAAATTTTACAACCGACTTTCATCTCAACTTATAAAACACCAAAATTCTAAATGATATTAATTATTTTATACAACTAAAAATAGGTATTTGAAAATTTTCAGAAATTATAACTTTAAACACATAGTGAAATAATAAAATTCACTATGCACAAGCAAATAATTTTTTAAAAAATTTATAGTTGAACATATTTTCAAAATACAATACTAGCTTTTTTAATCTCTGAACATTTTTTTATTACAATATCAAACTTTATTTTTTACACACTAAATCTTTTTGGGAAGAGACACACAACAAGGTCTTGATATTTAATTTAAAAAAAAATCTCACTATTATGTATTGAATAGAGAACAAGAACTTATGAAATGCATGTTAAATATTTAAATGCAGAGCTTGAAAGAAGGAAAGGGGGAATAAAAATGTGCGATTAAAATTCTATAAAAATATCAGTTACTTTTACTACTTCACTCTGATATTTATTATAAAATTATTTCACCTATATAATTTGAATTAATACTTTATTTCCTTTTGAATCTTAAAAATTAATAAAAACTACATCTTAGAATGAAAAAAAAAATTATGTACACTTAATAATTTTATCTCACGATTTTTTAATCAAGTTCTTCATCTTTATTCTAATGGTCATTTTTTGTCCCTGACTACAGGTCTTTTTTTTCCCTCACTTCTGGTTTGTCCTCTTTTTCCCCTTCTGAGAAAAATACACATTAAACATCTTACCCTCCCTTTCTGTACACATAACTCAGCTATTAAATTTCTTCTATTATACTAACATCCATTATAAAAATTACATTTTATATGACCATTTCAGATTAAATGTAATTTGTTTCCTGAATAAAAGTTGTTTTTCTCAACCATGACATAGCACATTTTTCAATTCAGGCTATAACATTCAATTACAGTTATTTACCTTTCAGTGGTTCTTTCTTACAAAATACACACAATATCCATCAGCCGTAAATTTGCAGTTGTGCCCATGTTCATTTGCATCCACTGTAAAGCGTTACTAGAATGCGAGCTGAGGTCTTTAATGACCATTAAAAAGTTAATAATTGACAACTCAGATTATTAATAGCTTTCAGTTGAAATTCCATTACATGTATATTTTATATTAATACACATTTTAAATGTATTTATAAAACAAAATTTAAAAAAAAAAAATTACCTTCAGTTTATTATACAGTTAGTAATTCTTGCAAATTGAGTTTGAAATCAATTTCAGAGTGCAAAAGTTTAAACATAATTTACATTTATCTTTTGACAGTTTTGTTAATATTTTGAATATATCTCATCAAATTCTTTGATACTTGTTCAATAACCAATTTTATTCAAATGAAAGATCTGAAAAAAATTATAACCTGTAAAATAAGTTGTGCATAATTTATTATACAATATTATATTTCAAATCAATCCAAGTGCAATAAAAATTTTAATTCAAAACCATTAAAAATAGACAAATTTGTATTAAAAAATCTGTTAACAAAGCACTGCAATTATGATAAAAAAAATTAAGTTAAAAAAGCATTACAGTTAAGATGCAAAAAATTACACTATGAAAAGCTTTAAAAAATCCATTTGATTACAAAACAAACACCAAGCCTATTTTATTTGAATTAAAAATTTAAATGAAATTTATTGTCTTTCAATATGCAGAAATACAATTATTTTAAGAGAAAACAGGTTCTTTACATATATGAAAATAGAACACTGAAGTATTACATAAAAATAGGAAAATTAAGATCAATAATGGTACAAGACTTTTCACAAAAAAGAGGAGAGGGGGAAAAAAAAAAAAAAAAAAAAAGAGCTTTTTTTGATTTTATTTTACCAAATTTTTATGCTTCAACATATATCAATAAGTGCAATAGGATACAATAACCATAGTATGATGACTTAAAGTTAAGTTCAAAAAATAAGTGAAATATAACACCAATACTGGCATAATGATTATTTACACTGATATACTTGCAACAAATGTTTGGAAATTCCTTACCATTATCCATTACCACATGCAATTAAATTAACGTGCAATCTAATACATACTCTCTTGAAAATCATAAAACAAACCGCAGAAATTTAACATAACATACACACTATATATATAAAGAACTTTATACAAGACAAAAACATATAATACTTCATATAATTAAAAAAGTCTTGGGTAATAGTATATATGTTAAGAACAGCAACTACTTAATAATTAGTTTTAAGTAACATATTTTGACAGCTTCATGCATGATTCATAAACTTTAGACTATTATGGTAATTAATGAAGTGAACAACATTCAAATAAAACTATGCAGTAATAAAAATCTGCTCTTAACAGCAGCTACATCTACAATAAAAAGAGACAAATTTATATTTTGATCATAAATTGACATCAATACGATAAAAATATTTTCAAAATTAAAACAATAATTGCTATATTACACAAAACAATGCATCAAATATTTAATATCTGGAAAATAAACAGTTGTGTTAACTGATAATGCTAGTCAAAGCCTTTACAAGAATAGTTCCGAAATTTTTCTCATCAAAAGCATTCACTTTGTTTACATATAAACAGATATAAAATGAAAGAAATAAGTAATTTTGTACTTCATCTCATGTACAGTTATTTCAATACATATATCATATTTATCCTATTGTAAATGCATTTTTATTTTTTCAATACTTGTATGTTAATATTTTACAAGCCGCATAGCATATTTCACAAGGCACAATAAACTCATTCAAAAAGTGCAGTTATAATACATATAAATCATATAAAACAAAAAATAAAATTGAAAAAAAATTCTTAAGCTTTCCAGTACCATTTCCCCTAATTCTTTCAGAAGCTTTTCTTATATATATATATATATATATATATAGCAGGAGGAGGACATTTAGCACAGCTACAAAAGCAAACTGATAAAACTATACACAAAGCAATCACTTAAACAGAAAAAAATGAGAATCATTCTAAATTTCACACTGTTAAATTCTGATCAGCAAGTGTGACAAACACACGAAAAAGTTGTACATCCAAACATTAATTGGTAATTATTTGATTTCAAGACACGAAAGAAAAAAAAAATCACCATTGTTACAATGCAATGAAAAGAAAAAGTACCTCTACAACAGAATGAAAAAATGATTGTTCCCTTATTTTCAACTTAAGGTTTCACTCTTTTTCTTGGAGGGCCAATCGGTGGGATTTGTTGCGTAGCCAATGCACGAAATGCTTCAGCAACAAGGTGAGGATGTGTTTGAATCATAGTTCTCCAACCTGCAGTCTCCATAACGTCTGTAGCATGCATATTGATGAAATCAATTACATGTGCTTTTAACTGGTCTGCACTATGCATATCAGCTAGAATTAAAACTTCAGCAGCAGTTGTGACAGACAAATTTGAACAGATATGTTCTTCACACATAACTTTAAGACGATCAAGAGCATATTTATCTGCAGCTGCCAACAAATCTTCTGGCATATTTTCAATATTTGAAACCTTCCCAGTATATATATAATGAAGCATTTCTCGCAACACTTCATGATCCATGTCTGTTATTTCTACTCTATTTTGTTTTTTTTCTTCCATTTCATGCTCAAACATAGCAGAAAATACAGGAGATCGAGCAGCTAAGATTGCTTTATGTGCCGCAAATTCACGCCCATTAACACTGAGAATGACATCGCTAAATTTTTGGCTTTCAAAAAGTTGCCCAAAATCTTCAGACAAATGACACTCGGGAACTTTGAACTGAATAGCACTGTTTTGACCAGATATGTTTATAGAATCGGCAACAACACTTACTTCACAGTATAACGTCAGTTTATCATCTGGAAGCAGTCCATTTGCTTCGTCAAGTAGGAAATCTCTTCGTATAAATTTTTTGAATCCCCAATCTTTGCCTTGAACGAATCTATATGCTCTCTGACTCTCCATAGCCTTAGTTTCTTCCTTGCGTGCATTTAAAATTGAAAATTTAAATTTCGCTCTGACTTCCGTTTTATTACAGGAGACTAGCAATAAATAAAGTGACAGGTAATCTTTACTTTCTTCATCTAAGCCTTTTGGGTTAACCCGTAGGCACCATTTAAGCTTATCATTGCTACCTGCTGAAAACGTAGAACTTTTCAGCACTTCTCCCATTTCTTCTCGGCTATAACTGAAATTATTAATTGTCCACATAAATGAAAATTTTATTACCTTTACTTGAGTGTAACACCAACTTTCTGCAACGGATTGTGTAGCTTCGGATTGCGGTGTAGGAGGAGGAGATGGTACGCGAGTCAACGCCATTGTGGCAGTCGCCCATAAAACTTACACAAAGCACAATGGATTTACGTTCTAAAATATAGTTCGCTGACAAAAAAATTGATACACAAAAGAGGTCAAGACACAAAATCAGGGTCAAATAACATACATCTGTCCTACGTTTTCTATGCTAAAGTTGCAGTAGTAGTAGTTACTTAGCCGAAATTCCTTGTTCCAGAAACAACAAATGAGGAAACACGAAAACTCGAGGTTAAAATGTCAATGACACCATTGGGCGAAACGTAGAACAAGGACCACGTGCAAAATTTATTTTTATTTTTCATGATTGTCGTTTAATTGATATCAAATGTGTTTTTATAAAGATAAATTTATAAAAGAAATTACCAAATAGTTTTTGTAAATAAAATTACTTTCTTCATTTTTTTCTGAAATAGAACAACTTATGCGTAAAACTTCTAGCAATAAAAATTGTATGTTACCAAACAAATACGTCAAAGCAAACACTAGGCAAGGAATTCTTTTTTTTTTTTTTTTTTTTTTCAAATCCATCAAATAGCGATTTGAAAAATACGAAAGCAAATTTCAGTAAAGGAAAGTACAGGGTGATATTCCCATAAAGATTTCATTTACGGCACTTCCTTGGAAGTGCCTACGCGATCATCAATCATTGTGTTTTGATTGAAATTATACAAAAAACCATACACCTCTCTGAATTTCCAGGAAATAGCCCTCTTAACACCGTTTCAGATAGCGAGAGTTAAACGCAATAATAAGAGTGGGATATCCTCCAAAAACACTTAAATTTTCGTTGTATGAAAAGCGGTAAAATGTCATCCGAAAACGGTACTATAATTGTTAGGAAAAAAAAAAAAAGCATTAGTTGGGTACGCGTGCTTGTCTTATTGTCGAAAAGCGTGTCTGTTATTTGAAATTATAGTACTTTATTCATGTTTAATACAGTAGTAAACACTGAGCTGTATTTTGGAAATGTATTTTTTAAAGGTTTCTATTTTAAAATTGGTACGTAATGGGCTATTATTTGAAAACAAAGCAACACTGGCTATTTATGCAAGGACTTTATCTCGCAGAATTTGAATTTTATAGAGATTTGTTTTTGCGACATATTCCCATATGGATGGCATAAAATAAGGCTGGTCATATTACTGCTTTGTATAATATCATTTCATTATGAAAAGAAAAACTACATTGGATATCCCATTTACCAAACAAAAATAAACGCCTCATAATCCTCCATTTCCTCTTATTCCTAAAGCTATTCCTTACATGGTATTAATTTCCATTGCCATGATAAAATGTCGCCTACATCCATAAAGGATCTAAATTGTCGCCCCTAAGGCTGTTTTCCAAAATAATTCAGTTTATAAATCCTCAATGTCAGAGGGAAATTCTCTCAAAACTACATTAACTGCTTTAGTTTTTCTGACATGAGCGACATAATGTTGAACAATATTCACTTCTAAATATCGTGCAATTTCTCCGTGACCATCAGGGGTCAATTGCGAAAATTTTAAGAAATTCACTTCTGATTTTGGCTGTAAAACTAGCATTAACCGCAACTTTAAGTTCTTAACAAATTCATTGAAATTTAGCAGTAGTAAGTTGATGCCTGTTACGAAAGTAAAGCATAAGCATTTAGCAGTAGTATCATCAGAATCGGTTTAATCTTGGGTGCCTTTAAAATACCCATCAACAATTTCTAGATTATTATTTAGAATATTCTCATCTGTAACATTTTCAAGGTTTTTTACATTATCATTACCCAAAAATAGGAAATTTGTTTCCAGTATTAAAAACACTGTTGTTTTTGAAGATTTTGGCAGAGTGTGCAGTTTTCCGTGAAGAAATAAAGCCATCATGAGTTGAAGTAGAAGGGTGGCCACACTAGGTAAAGTTGAGCACCTGAACCACGTTTCCAAGTCTCTTCGGCAATTATTTCTCATATTTCCCTTTTTCTCATTTTAAAGAAATTTTCCTTGCTTTCCTGAAGAGAGCATTTGTGAAACCACCCATTTACAAAAAGCACATAAATTTTTTGAGCCGCCAAATTTTCACTTTTCAATTTTTTGACGTCACGGAAATATCGACTAGTTTGGCAAGACGCCTACCCCACTTTTGACTACTACGGTGCGCTTTCGAAAGAATTGTGCTCCTGAATAGTGTGTTTAGGTGCTAATTGTGAGATTTTCGCAATTTAAATTATTATGAGTGGAAATTTACGCAAAATCTTTAGTGAATGGTTATTGTTTAACGCCGTAGTGTATTTGAGGAAAGAGGAGAATAATTCACTGCTGATGTATACATTAACAGTATGAAAAGTCTGGAAGGTGATAAATGCACTCGGCAATAAATGTGCTGCATTTCATCGCAAAATTCAGCGACGCCAGTAAAATAAACGAAAGTGTTTGAAAAACTTATCCACATCTGAAGCCACTATACAAAAATTATATGTGTGCCAATACAGCAATTTAAATAAAAAAAAAAAAAAATTGCAGAAAACTTCAGATCAAGGAATAAGAATTGCAGTGCCTCTATGTGCTTAAAAACTACGAAGCATTCTGCAGACTTTCGTGCCAAAATCAAGTTTGACAAATAGATTAATACATTTTATTGTTTCTTTTAGTGTATATATTTCAAAATTATTAAAATAACTTGAACAGTTTATTGCTGTTCAAGTTGCTTAAAACAGCAATAAAGTTCATTTATAAAGATACACAAGGAACTTCATAATTCATTGCTTTGATGAACAACTGAAATTTACTAAATTACCTAACTTTATAACATTAAATATCTTTGTAACTGTGTTATTATGCTCTGTTTTATAAAAGCTTCTTAACTAGTTCTAAAAGCTAACTACTAACTAAAAGCTTAGTTACTTACTATTCATTTGTTATACATTAAAATATTTTCTGATTTATTTACTAAATGTATTAAGAATTTCCATACATGCTTGTGCAGTGTGAATGCATGTTTGTGTAATGAACTTTGATTTTCATGAACGAAAAAGAAATACAATCTCCGAATAAGTACTTTTTGTTTTCCAGTTCCTGTGTTTAGCTGTAAAAGTAAATTCACTTCAAGTATGTGTCTGTGTAATTTTGACGATGTAAATGCTGAAATGTATGTATAGTAAAAACTCGACAAAAAAAATATCCGGAAAGCTCTTGAAATTTTGGATAGCCGAGCATATAAAAAATGAAATATTGTAATAAGTGAATGTAAGAATAAACTACTAGTCTAAAATCATAAAAACAGTTCATCTTATTTGTATCAACTTGACTATCAAAAGCCAATATTTAATATTATGCACGATTTTGAAAAAAATGTATGCTGCTGATCTTTGGATATGATACAATGATAATGAATTGAAAATTTAAATTGAACAATAGTTCTGAAAATTTGAAGTAAAATTTATATCCAAAAATCTCTGCCAATAAACTTCCATAAATGTTTTAAGTAATTAAAAAAAATATTTTAACCACTTATTATTTTAATTTTATTAAATTTTTTATATATTTAATAAATTTTATTTACTTTCATATTATTTTAATGTTTGCCATTATAAATTTCATACTATGTACTTTTTTAAGATTTCATAGTTGCTAATTAAACTTCCTTTACAATTTATTTAGTTATTCTATACTTACAGTTATATTTTATGTAAGAAAGGGATTTATGTGCAAGAGATATACAGTGAAAGTCATTTAACACAAAACTGAGGGGACTGAAATATTTTTTCGTGTTAAAGAATATTGAAAAGAAAAAAAAAGCATATATTCAACAAAATTAAGCTTATTACATTTTATTTACATAGATATGTATATATGTATTTATAAAAACCAATGAAACAAAAACATCCACAAGAACTTAATGGAATTTAATACAAAATTTTCAAGTTTTTGAAAAACAAAACATTTATTGAGTTTTGGGAAAATAATCTGATATTTTTCTTTGCATTGTCTTTTTTAGCATCAAATTGTTCAATGTCAAAACATTTTGTTATTCATTTCATTTCACCATTGGAATGTGCGTCTAAATAACTGTCCATACTTTTTATGATATTCCTCATTTCGGATGACGTGGGAACAGGAACTGCATTCATTTTATTTTCGTCATCAGAATCTGCATCAATGATATCTTTTTAGCTTTGAACAAACTCCAAAATAACTTTGTCTGCCATAATTGGGGCTGTACACACATTATCATAAACTACTGCAACGAATTCTTCCGATAGTACAGTAGGACAGTTCATTAATACAGAAACTTTCTCAAACATTTCATTAAGTGTCAGCTCAGTTTCAATATCCTACTTCTCCATTTCTTTCGGCGCCAAAGAATCTGATACTTTTGAGAATCGTGTGTAATGAAAATAATTTTCATTCATCCTTGGAGTCGCTGAATTCTATGCAGTGCAACATATGAGCCAAACTCACTAATTTTTACTCACACTGCCATGTACTCATCACTGAATTCCAAAGCTAACTGTTAGGATCTAAGTTTATTAACGTTTATTTATTTTAAATCTTACTATCATTCTATTTTCTACTCCGCCAGAATTATAAGCGTTAACTTTTTATGCAAATTTGTCTGGCGAAGCCAGTCTTAAGTTGTGCTTTTTGCCAAGCGGAGAAGGAATAATTATCAATCAGGCCGCTACTAGAAGTTACTCATGCTGTTGCCTCCAGGGCAGAGATTTAATCCTCTTGATAATTAACGTATTGTATTTAACAGTCCTGTACTACATACGCTTCCTGTTAATATAAGGCCAATTTTCCACGTTTATTATTCAAAGTTAGCGTTTTTTATTTTTTATTCTTACGTTTAGACCCAAGTAGTGGGTCTTTGTATTCCGAAGTAGGAAATTTGTAAAGAGAAAAAATAAAGGGTTTATACCCTTCCTGTGTAATCCTGTCTGCTTCCATTTTGAACATAGCTTTAGTAAGCCTCTGTTCCGATCAGGTCCTTGCATGTTCCCAAAGAAGTAAGACGGAACATTGAACCTGATAGTGGCGCCCACGAAGATAACTATGGCCGAGTTCAAGAAGAACCTGTGCTGCCTGCAGACGCGGCCAGATCCGAAATTCCAGCTGGCCCCTGGAAGGATTTTGTTACATCGTCAGACCAGCGCGCTTCGATAAACCAAAGCACATTTAATGGAACTCACCGGTAACCAGTTTTTTTGGAAAAATTGGATGACACTTCATGCTCTACCTGTGCACGAATTTCAA